TATATATATATATATATATTTGATATGTTGAATTTATTGTGGCGTTTGTTTTGAGTTTTGTTTTTTTTTTATGTTAGTAAAATGAATCTAATAACGTAACGGTGAGAATATAAAACGACGTTTGATTCCGCGAGAATTAAACGCCATATTAGAAAATTAATATTCTTGTTTTTTTTGTCTTTTTGCTTTTTTATCTTTTCTTTCAAGTAAATGTAAAATGATAAGTCTTACGTAACGTTGGCGCATGTGCAGGAGAGGCAAAACTAGAAAACGAGCTCATATCACGACTTTGTTCTTATGCCTCAAGACAGCAGACAAGCAAAATCTGATTGGCTAATCAAAGACTCGTTGCTATTATATCTATCTCCTGATTATTAATTCAGTTTCTCTTGTTAAAATCGCATTCAAGAAGCGAATTATGCGGAGAGCGGCCTGTTAACTTGTCGGGGTACCTGGTAGAACGAATCTGATATTGCAATACCCGAAACTGTAATAAAGACAGAGTAACATCACTGAAGACCTCTACCGTTGTATTATATATATATATATATGTATGTATGTGTGTATGTATGCATATGTATATATATTTAAACAGTTAAAATACTTAATCTTTGAAAATGGCTAAATGTATACCCGAAAGCTCTCAGATAAAATAACATTCGGACAGTTTTTATATCATTGATCATCCGAAAAGAAAAATAAATTATTAGATCGCATGGGAAATTGTATAAAAAACTAAATAAAAGCACCTTGTCTGTCGTATTCAATGAAATGTTATGCATGAAAGAAGGATTGCTGCCTAAATGCACACACACACACACACACACACACACACACACACATATATATATATATATATATATATATATATATATATATATATATATATTTTATTGGATAGATGTGAGCTCTATCTCTGATATTGAAGCTTTTCTAATAAGTACCATATATATAATATATAAATAATTATACATATATATATTTATATTTATATATATTTTTCACACATATATATATATATATATATATATGTGTGTGTGTGTGTGTGTGTGTGTGTATTTGTGATGTGCTCTCGAAAACTTTTGAATATTGTACATGTTAATCATGCATATTTAAGAAAAAAGTGATCTTGATTGATTCAGACCAAATTCTTTTTTTTAGCGAAAGAATTTGGAATGCTCATTTTATTTTGAATATTCTTTAGCATACAGATACTCAGAGATAAGCCTTTCATTTTTTTCTTTGCATCGTAACGTCCTTGAAGGAATCTTTAAACCCGAAAATGATGTCCATTTCCCTTGGCAATAGATAACAGAGTCCAACTTGAATGCATATGACCAAGCTTGATAAGCAGTAACCAACAATAAAATAAAATAAAATAAGCAGCATTAATAATGCGATTCAAACAATTCCCGTACTGAATGGCAGCATAGAAGAGCGAAACATTTATCGCCACTGATAACGTCATCGACGGAGTTCGTTCGACTTCCGCCATTTGCAGTTTATGTCTACCTAGTAGAGACATTACTATTTCTGTTACACAGCGCTTGATCCAAAAATGAATGGGTGAGCAAGCACTAGATGATTCACATCTACCTTATCTATGCTAGTTGTATCAGCAAAAACTGTCAGCCAAACTGCAAACTGTTTACTGATAATGAGTTGATGCAAAGCTCCGCCATCTTTTGCCTGGAGCAGGCGAAATCTACGAATAGACTCTTACTCAGCACTTTGTGTGCGTTCAGTCATTTGAGATAATCAAATCTTAATGTCATCGATTTCTTTTTAATTTTCCCTTTAAAGCTGGTATATTAGACTGAGGCATTGTTTTGGTAAATAAAATTAAATTTATTAACGCGTTAACAGCTAACTTGGCTACTTGAGACTTACTGAAATCTATGACTGTGTTACAAATTTAGTAATTGCTATATAAGAAAAAGTATATTATTTACATTATTCGGACTATTGTCCTCATCTTTGTCGCCATATTTATCACAACGTTTCGGCCGTTTTACGCTCCGGCCTTCATCAGGTGGTTGGAATTTCTTTGGGTTCTGTCACTGTCAAAGAGTGTGAGTTCAATACCCGGTTAAGGCAGTGGAGAACTTTCAGAGGGAAATTAGCAGGAGATAACTGACATCCATCAAAACATGACACGTGGAACTAGAACAGTCTACCCCAGTAAGCGAAATAAAGGGTTCAGTTCGAAATTCCAATCACCTGAAGAAGGCCGGAGCGTACAACGGCCGAAACGCCGTGATAAATATGGCGACAAAGATGAGGACAATAGTCCGAATAATGTAAATAATGTACATAATACCTCATCTCAGAAATATAGACAGACTCTGAAGAAAAAGTATGCTTTATTTTGGCAAATAAAATTACATTTATTAAAATATTAAATATTTGAACTATATCATCTAGATTTTTGTTTCACTGATATCCTTCTTCTTCTCTGCCTTCAGAACGTTGGCGATCATGGCTCTCCACATCTTCCTCTCTTTTGTAGCTCTCAATAAATATTGTCTGTTCGCCATCTCTCCTAAACCCTATCCTGCTATTCATTGCCTCAAGCTTGACATGTAGGTTATACTTTGTTTTCCTCTGTCCCTCTTGCATTCGATCTGCTTGGTGAGTGTCAAATTTCCCAAGCCGTCTTTTCTCATTATGCGCCCTAGAAATTTCATTTGTTTCTTCTTGATGTTAAGTATAAGTGTCCTTTTTCTTTCCATTTTCTCTAAATCTTCATCGTTGCTCACATGTTCGGCCCATGGCATTCTCAGCATTCTTCTGTAGAAATATATTTCTGTTGCTTCAAGTCTCTTCTTCATCCGCGAGAAGTTTGTCCAGCATTCACTGCCATATAGGAAGACCGATATTAACAATTCAGTACTATTTTTTGAGTCTTATTTGTTCCGTCATACATTTACTGAATTTCGATGGTTTTGAGCGGTCCACCCCTTTTTATACAAATGAACTCACCCAGTATATACATATACTACTGCAAGATGTAAGATGCGAGCAAGACCCAAGAGTCGAGTCCAGAGTGACAGAGTAAAAGGTTGTAGGTAACCAGAAGAGTGAGGGGTGAGGTAACAGCGTTGAAGGAGTCACAGGGCGCGAGCACGTAGACTCAGTAAGAAGTCATACAGCGACACTTCAATACCAAAGACTGTATAGATATTTTGCTACTAACCCGTATTCCTGGAACTACTAACCTGCTTTACCAGTTTGTATTATTACGTTAATACATTATTTTCCTATATTCATTCTTGGCGTTTGTTATTTATTGGTACCGGATTTCAACCCGGAATCCACAACAGATGTGTAGGTTATGCATTGTTTTCCTCTACCCCACTTGCCTTCAATATGTCCTCTGAGTATCAGATTTTCCAAACCTTCTAGAAATTTCATCTATATCTTCATGATAATATGTGTCTTTTTCGCTTCCATTTTCTCTAAAACTTCGTTATATTAATCTTCTTTCTCATAAAGGCGGCCAATTTAATTCCTGTCCGGTGGGTTCGTGTTGCTGTATTATTGAATAATAGAATATTATATGATTATGTGATTGTTTATAAATTTATTTCTCTTAGTTTATTTTTGCCGCAATAGTTGAGAAAAGACACCAAACATTCTATACCATGTGTTCCTGGAAGTTAAAACACTCCAAAACAGAAATCACAAATTGGAATTGCGATAAAAGTAATGATGCCCCCCCAATCTGATTCCTTCATTTCGAATAATTATCATTTAGCATAATTATCATTTCGATTAATTTCAATTCCAAAAATTTATAATTCGAGAAAGGTTTTTCGAATAATTGTTTCCATACAATTACTTTCGAAAGATTTACTCAATAGGGTTTATTTTAATCGATACAAACCGGCTAAAAGATTTAACAAATCTTGCATTTAGGATAATGTTAGCTGCTGCAAATTGTAATACACAATATATATATATATATATATATATATATATATATATATATATGAAGAAATATAGCCTTAAAGTGTGCTATATTTATGGGATAAAGTGCTCAATATCAGAGATAGAGCGTGTGTAAATATAAAGGTGAACGTAGAAGTCAACACTTAGAGGCGACAGGTTGTTTCATCCTAGACGCAATCGTCAGGTCACGACGATTCCGTCTAGCATGAAACAGCCTATCATCGCCTCTAAGTGTTGACTTCAATGTTCATATATATATATATATATATAATATATAGTGATGAATTTACAACATCACTTGATAAGGCACCAGAAGTATTGAAACAAAATCGAATAAATTATAATTGGTCCTACTTTCTATTGAGCATTCTTATATGAATAGTATTTTTGGTCATTGGAATTTATTCAAAATACATATATATTATATATATATATATATATATATATATATATATATATATATATATATATATATATATATATATATATATATATATATATTTTTTTTTTTTAAAAAAAGCAAAAATACTAAAGAACTTTTGCATTATTTACCTAACGAGTTCTTTCCTATTTTCTATATATTTTCACACATACACACACACAAACAAAACGCACACACACACACACATATATATACACACACATATATATACACACATACACACACACACACACACACATATATATAAATATATATATATATATATATATATATATATTATAAATTTACTAATTTAAACTAATGGTTCCATCGCAATTTAAATTAGTAAATTATTAAGTTTATAATATTAATTGCTTTGCAGAATTGTATTGAACACTGTCTTTTATAAATAAAAATAATTAATAAGTACACTGGATTATAAATCTGACTGTTCTTTCTCGTTATTTTAATATATATATATATATATATCTGTGTGTGTGTGTGGGTGGGTGTGCAATTGTTTTTTCCGGAATTCTCTAGCATAAAGTTTGCTGTGCCTATTATTTTTTTTTAGTGCGTGTTATACGTGAATAATTACAGGATGTTAATATCTCCAATACGAGAGCCGATGCTTTTATGGATTCCAATTTCAATTGCCTTCAATTTTCATATTCCTAGATGCGTAAATCGGAATCTGTGACAAAGTCATTTTTCTCTATGAGCATGTCTTGAATTTCTATCGGATTATTCCTAATAGTAAGAATATCTTCGAATGAAAAGCGAAAACGCGAAGAAAAATTAAATAAAATTTATCAGCCTTGAAGAAAACTGCATGTATGTATATCCTTTGCACATATAAGAGCTTCATCTGCGTTTGTATATATTATATATATATATATATATATATATATATATATATATATATATATATATATATATATATATATATATATATATATATATATGTATGTATATATTATGTAAAGCAATTGTTGAAAAAAAATCGAAGCAAGCAAATAATTTCAGAAACTAGAGAAAACAAAACAGAACGCAGGTTAGAGAAACCAAAAAACGAAATCAATCCGAACGAAAAAAGTAACGGATTGTAATCATACAAAAACCGAAATTTGACATGTCTTTAAAAAGCTAAAATGAAAATGAAAAAAATAGGAATGGATCGTTATTGACGAAACGAAATATTAGGCTGCGTTTATGACTTAATTTATCGCCGCAGGCCCAGAACGAGCAGGTTTTGGCTTCAGCTTTCTCTTGATACTTGCCAATACGATGAATATATCGATCAGAGATGTGAATAATAAACCCAGGACAGTTCGATTCTTAGAATTAGTATTCTTCCCGCAACAAAGCTTTCTTTTTATATTTGTTTCTGTTTTCTATAGTTTGCACTTACCTTTCGTTCACCCTTTCTCAACAAACTTATTTTCTTTCCCACTCTCTCTTTCTTTTCTCTTTCTACCTTTCTACCTTTCTTTCTTTCTTTCTTTCTTTCTTTCTTTTCAAAAATGATTGTTTTTCTTTACTTTCTTCATAATTTCTTGGTATTTGTATTTTCATCTCAGAATTCTTTTTTTTCCTTCTCTCTTTCTGTTAATATTTTCTTTCTTCTCAAAATTATTTTCTTTCATTCTCTCTCTCTCTTTTTCTTTCTCTTTTTCACTCTCTTTCTCTTTTTTCTTCATTTCTTTCTTCTCGAAATTTTCTCTTTCCTTCGTTCTTTATTTTCACGATTTCTCTTTCTTTATTATCAATTCAATTTTTTCCTTCTCTCTCTCTCTCTGTATATGATTTCTTTTCTTTCTTTTTTCCTTTGCGAAATTCTTTTATTTCCTTCTCTTTTTCTCTCCATTTTTTAAATTTATTTATTTATTTCATTATGTATATGTTTAATACATTCTTTTTCATTTTTTATGAAGATTATTTTTCTTAATTCTCCCTTTATCTTCCTTTTATTCTTACTTCTTTCCTTCTTTCACACTTTCTTTTCTTTCTTTTTTTAACCTTTCTTTCTTTTTCTTCCTTTCTTTCTTTTTCTTTCGTTCTTTCTTTCTTTTTTCTGTCACTCTTTCTTTCTTTTTCTTTCACCATTTCTTTATTTTTCTTTCAATCTTTCTTCTTTCTTTTTCATTTTTCTTTCTTTCTTTTTCTTTTCTCTTTTTCTTTTCTTTCTTTTTTCTTTCTTTCCTTTCTTTTTTCTTTTTTTTTCTTTTTTTTTTCTTTTTTCTTTCTTTCAAAAATTACTTTCTCTTTTCTTACTCTTTCTTTCTTTTTTTCTTTCACACTTTATTTCTTTTTCTTTCTTTACATCTGTACTCATATAATTGTTTTTCTTGTCTTTTTCTTTCTTTCTTTCTTTTTGTTTACTTTCTTCCTTTTTCTTTTTCTTTCTTTTTTCTTTCTTTCTTTTTCTTTCTCTCTTTGGTTTTTCTTTCTTTCATTCTTTCTTTAGGTCTTTATTCATGTATTTGTTTGTTTTCTTTACTTTTTCTTTCATCCATTTTACTTTCTTCCTTTTCACGCTTTCTTCCTTTCTTTTTACTTTAGTTCTTTTTTTAGTTCTTTTTTCTTTCCCTCTTTTTTCTTTCTTTATTTTTTACGTCATTACTCATGTATTTGTTTTTTTTTTCTTTCTTTTTTTTTTTTTTCTTTCTTTTTTCTTTAGTTTTTATTTCTTTAATTTTTTCTTTCTTTCTTTCTTTCTTTCTTTCTTTCTTCGTTTACTGGTGTATTTATTTATTTATTTACTACTTTTTTCTCATCTTCATCTATTTCCAACGCTTTCCATTTTCACAAAAACATTTCCCGCCATTTTTCAATACCTATATTCAGTTATCAATAAATGCATTTACTTATCATAAACCTGCATTATGTCACGCCACCAGAAATAGAAGCTTCATGCCATATTTAAAAAAAAATTATTATTTCTCAAGCTTTTAATACACAAACACGCAAACACACACACACACATACGTATATATATATATACATATATATATATATATATATATATATATATATATATATATTTCTCTCTGTCTCTGTCTCTCTCTCTCTCTCTCTCTCTCTCTCTCTCTATATATATATATATATATATATATATATATATATATATATATATATATATTAGCTGGATTTTTGAGAAGTACATGTGTGATATATTTCTATATACCCATATATATATATATATATATATATATATATATATATATATAGGAATGCATAAGAAAATGTAAATACAGGAACAAATACTTGCGCGTACGTAAGTGTATTTTTTCTACAGATATCTTAAATACAGTGCTCAATGTTATGAAACATATTTACTAGTGAATCGAGCAGATATGAAACGTACGAGAGAAAATCATGGAGAATTTTATTTTAAAAACTGTAAAATCTACTTTGCTAACCGTAACACTCCTCTGCGGCGCAATCGGTAAAGCACATTAGGCTGTATGATGGTTTTGTATAGGCTACAGGTTCGAATCCTGTCGGAACACGGATATTTTCTATGACTTCTAGGACATTGAGGCCGGTAAATGTCATCAATATTGTTTATTATATACAGAGCATTTACTTAAATATTTTTTATATCTATAAAAAGGACGTATAATCATAAAAAAATATCTTAAAATACTAGTGAATATACATAAAATGCAAAACGCCAATAACTCGACTGGAAGTTTCATGCAGTTAATGCAATCTTCAGGTTTGACGTTGAAAGATATTTATCGACGTTAGATATTGTATATATTCATATATATATATATATATATATATATATAGGATCCACTTTGATTATATACAACGGTTTTATCACCTATATATATATTTATATATATAGAGAGAATTGAGAGAGACACACACACAGACATATATATATATATATATATATATATATATATATATATAGTAATCCACATACAGGCCAGTTTTGATGTATCACAGCTCATCAGTGTGGCTAGACATCCAATTGCTGTAAGCCAGTATCGAAACCCTGCGATTTGGCATCAGTTGGAGATCCTACCCTTAAGCTTTCAGCGCACGGTTGACAGGATGGGATCATATATATATATATATATATATATATATATATATATATATATATATATATATATATATATATATTAATGTTATTAAAATATTTCTCGATGTAATAATGTTGCGGTAGCCAGATAATTTTATCAAGAAAATTATTATTTAAAGCATAATATTTAAATTATGTAACGGTCAGTCTCTGCTCAGTACCCCAAGTACCCTATTCACTCCCTCTATCCCTTGTATCTCTCATGTTCGTTCCCTCTGCCACCTCCTCCTGACCACGTTCTGTCATCCACTTGCTTAAGCCCGCTAGGTATGTCATGCATTGTTTTCTCTTGTCTCTCTTTCCCTCTATTCGACCCGTGAATATCAGATTTTCCAGGCCCTCTTTCCTCATTATGTGTCCTAGAAACATCAGCTGCCTCTTTCTGAGGTTAAGTATTATCTTCCTCCTTTTTTGCGTCCTCTTAAGACCTGATCGTTGTTCATATGCTCGGTCCATGATATCCTTAGCATCCTTCTGTAGAACCATATCTCACTTGCCTCGAGTCTTTTCTTCATCTTTGAGGAAACCGTCAAGCATTCGCTGCCTTAAAGGAGGACAGACGTCACATAACAGCTCAGTACTCTTTTCTTTGTTACCAAAGAAATCTTACTGTCTCGAAATAGTTTCTACTAACTGAGTTTTTTTTTCCCCAAATATGCAAAGGTTCCTTCAGCTTTTTTGGAGTATAATTCTTCCTTATTTGCGTCATTTACTTTTGGATTAATATCTTTATCTTCATACCATGAATGTTATTATTCCTTATTCTCACAATGCATCCGTACCGTTTCAACTTTAACTTCCACTTCTTGGCAGTAGACCTTTTGTCCTACAATAACAGTTGCCGCAAAACTAAGAAACATTTGGAAAGACTAGGATATCTTTCAAGTCAAAGATCTGACTGTTGCCGGCATTTTTTTTTCAACGCGTTTATGACTTTATCTCTCTTTTTAATTTTTTTAATTTAATGTAACTATGAAAACAATAGATATTTCGCTTCAATTCTGCGTTGATAAAGTCGGAAGACGAAACGCGTCGGCAATAAACTAAGATTTTTTACTATTATCATTTTTCTTACACCAATTGGTATATTGTTCTGGGAATTTTACTATATTGTCGACATGTAAAGAAAAATAACCAAAAAATCTTAGTATAAAGGAAGTTATCGTTAGTCAGAAAGAGGCTTACGCAAAAGCGTCTCCCTCTTTTTAAATGTTGGATTTATGAAAACAAAATCATTTCGCTTCAATTTTACCTTGATAAAGTCGGAAGACGAAACGCGTCAGCAATAAACTAAGATTTGTTTCTATTGTCATTCTTCTTATACCAATTGGTCTTATCTTCAGAATTGTTCTTTTAGTTTTACTATATTTTCGACATGGAAAAAAATTCTTAGTATAAAGGAAGTTATCATTAGCCAGAAAGAGGCATACACAAAAGAGTCACTCTCTCTCTTTTAAGTTTTTGGATTTAATGTATAAAAAGAAAAACATTTCGCTTCAATTTTGGCTTGATAAAGTCGAAGACGAAACGCGTTGGCAATACACTAAGATTTTTTCCTATTATCTTTTTTCTTACGCCAATTGGTCTTATCTATTCTATTGTTCTGGGAATTTTACTATATTGTCGACATTTAAAAAAATAACAAAAAACTCTTAGTATAAAGGAAGTTATCATTAGTCAGAAAGCGGCTTAAGCAAAAGCGTCTCCCCCTTTTTAAATGTTGGATTTAATGTTACAATGAAAACAAAAACATTTCGTTTAAATTTTGCCTTGATAAATTCGGAAGACGAAACGCGTCGGCAATAAACTAAGATTTTTTCCTATTGTCATTCTTCTTATACCATAACTATTGTTATAAATATACTCTTAATTAATGTATCCATTGAAATATTTTGAAATGGCTGAAATTTTCCGCCGAATTTTGTTAGGGGAATCATGGTTAAACTAGGGGAGCCTCCATTTTAATATTAATTTGGGGTTTCTTTCAAAATGAGTGAACTAGAATTTGAATAACCGTTTCCATTTTCTATGTCGAGAACCGGTAGTCTATCCCCCACATCCCAATGTTTGCTTTGCAAGATTTAATTATCGGCGATCACACGATAGCGGGCAACTTTCAGATATTTACTAGCGTTCTTTTGTTCCAACAGAGGCCTCCAGAGTAGAAGCGAAATATGAGAAGGACAACAAAGATAAACTCTGCTAAACTTTGATCCACGAAAGGCCCGGCAGAAAAAAGTACAACAGCTTAAAAAGAAGATGAACGAAATATCTTCTAACATCTTGTTCTCTCCTTGTCAACGTTGACGAGAGCTGAATCAGCATTTGACTCTTAATACTCTCTGGTCTGGATGTGTTGGTAGTGTAACGGAATCTAAGATCCGAGTTCAAATGAAGCGAAAAGACATGAAGTAAAAATTCTACATTGAAGCCATTGCTAGGTCAGCTACTAAGAAAGTTGGTCAAATGAGTCGTGTGAGACAATTTTTCTCTCCAGAATCTGGCATATCTATAAGTCTATCAATTGGTCCATACTTAGAATATTACTGCTAAAAATAGTCCGGTATCCCTGCTATTTACCTTGAACTCCTTCATAAGACCCAAAGAAGAATCAGCAATATTATTGGTCTTGGTCTGGTGGCTCGGCTTCAGTCATTTTCTCACCGCTGTACGGTTGCCACCCTGTGTCTTTTCTATAAATACTTTCATGCTGATTATTCGGATGAGCTTTTTAAATTTAAGCGAACTAATAAACTAGTGTCACGATTTCATCAATTTATAGTTTAGCTGGCTAGATGTAGCCGTAAATTCTTTCCTCATAGTTTCATTTCTCGCACTTCTGGCGTGTAGGACCCCCCTTCTGGCTTCATGCTTACCAGCCAACTTGAATCTTCAAAAAATTAAATGCAATGAAAAGACTTCCACGTGTGTACTTCCTTGAATAATACAATTTTAACCTCTTTAAGTCAAGATTCAATTATTTTCATCTTTACTTTCCTAATTTTAATTTCCCGACAACACTTTTTTATTCACAGACCTAATTCATCATTTATATTTTTAATCACTACCTTGAGTGGCTATTGGGAGAACATTTGTATATAAATTAAAAATAAAAAATAAAATAAAAAAATAAAAATTAAAAATAAAATTATCCTTTCATGTCAGTGACAGGATAATTTAGTACAACCAACCTAGTTATCCATAACAACTCTTCCCTATCAACAAATATTTTACAAAAAAATAAAATCGTATATTAATTTAAATCCCCTTTGGGAGATTGCATCTCTGATAAAAATGTTAATAGATATGTTGGTTTTACAACAACGACTATGAACAGAAGGCTTATGTTTCACTTGAACGATTGCATTTCAATCTCAGAACATTTAAAGGAACACTCATGTTTACATTCACAGTTTAGACAGATATTCGTCGAAAATACATCAGTGCTCCATCAAGATAATAATAAGTAAGAACTTAAAATTCTGGAAGCTGTTTATGTTGGAATTTTTGGGTACCCTGGTGTACTAGTGAACCAGCCAAAATGAGCTGACTCATTCTATAGTTCATCGATAGAAGGGTTAACCAATCAGAAGGCTCAAAATATTCAATGCGACGTGTATAAAGGCAACCATGTTTTTCCCGAATATGCACTGCCAGCCTTTGATATCGAAGACTGAAGAATTACTGAACAGCTGCTGGTGGTATTGGCGATATAGTCAGATTCAGTAGAGTATCTGACACGTGAGTGTTAATCTTTAACGTTGTTTCATTGAACAGATTACGTACTGCGCTGTATTCTATATTCATAGACTATAGTGAACATGGTCAACAGTTTATATATGAGAATTGCAGCCAGAAATAAATAAACTACAAGTATAGTGACAAAGTTCTTAAATGTGTGTAGCAGAATAATGTTATAAAATATACCAAATTAAAATACTAAAAATTAAAAAAATCTTTTAAAAAATTTCTATTTAAAGTTTATTCTCTTCACAAAAAAGCAAAAGCAAAAACATTTTGCTTTATTTACACTATTTACATTGTTCGGACTGTTGCCATCATGTTTGTTGTTATACTCACCACGTTTCGACCGTTGTACGCTTCGTTCTTCTTCAGGTGACTGGAATTTCGTCCATTGAGGCAGACTTATGACGTAGAACTAGAACAATTTAAATGTCCTTTAGGAACGTGTTAATAAAAATGTTAATGCATATGTTGGCTTTACACCGACGACTATGAACAGAAGGCGTATGTTTCACTTGAACGATCGCAGTTCAATCTCTGAACATTTAAAGAAACACTCATGTCAACATTCGCAGTTTAGACAGATATTAGTGAAAAATACATCAGTTCTCCATCAAGATAATAATAAGTAAAAACTTAAAATTCTAAAACCCGTTTATATAAGAGAATTGCGTCCCAAAATAAATAAAATCAACTTCGAGTATAGCAACAAAGTTTCTAAATGTAGCAAAGTGTTATGAAAAAATATTAAATTAAAAATATCAAATTAAAATGCTTTTAAAAAATTGTTACCTCCTTTGCATAGAGGTAAAAAAAATATTTTGAATTTACGGTGTTAACGCATAACACGTCCATAGATATGCAATCCCTGAAGATGGTTTCAGATGAAATATTTGCGAAGATGTCTAACGATAAAACAAAACAAAAAAGCGGGAATAATCAGATTCGCACTTCCTAAAAGATATTATTGGTAAACGAATTGAAGCTCCTTCAATCGCTTTCGAAATTCAAATTCGAATCCATTTTGCTTCTGATAGCAGCCGTTGATGATGAGTTTCAATTTAACTATCACACGACGCATAAAAACAAAATATTCGTGATAATGAAGTCGTTAAATAAATGAACTTCCTTGTACGCCATAAATCATTCTAAATAAAAAAAACAATTCTAAGATAGACAAATTAATGATAAATTACTCTATGTTCACACAATCGAACGTTAGTTAATTCGATATGCATTTTTCACTCTCTCTAGCTGTTTCATGAAAATCACAATATCGAGAACATTATCTTCTCGCTTGATTTATATATCATAAATCACCAAATCGTAAAGACTTATGCAGACTAGCAATGTTCCGACGGCCATGATACATAGTTTGCGCATGCGCTTGTATCAATTTAAACGCCAGCAATGTGCAATAGAAAACTCCCGATTCCATTTGACGAAATGGAACGCGGAAGACTGTTTTTTTAATCTCGTTATTTACTTGTGGAATATGTTGCATCAATGCACATTTGTTTTTCACTCGTCCCGAGGTGAAGACTTGTGATTTATTAATTAGATTTTATTTACATATTTTTTTTTAAAATCATTTCACCCCAAGCAAGGTGACAATGTCACTAAGACGCAAAAGGTTACTGGAAGTGAAGGAAAAAAAGATTTTAGTGAGGAGAAAGGACAATACAAGAATTGGGTAGATAGCAACCTTAGGTGCCGCCGATAATTTGTCTTTCGAAATCACTTCGCTAACAGGACTAATCTTTTGAATAATAAGATCCTTATATTCGAGTTGTTGTCAGATGTGAGACACATCGAAGTCACAAGTCATCGTGGCCGAGGGCTTAAGCGTGCTGGCCTTGTTCAAATTGTTGATCCCGCTAGATAACACGCTCTTTCCCAGAAATTGTAACTATGGTCTGGTCAGCGTAGTTGCAGTATAAACCAAAAGTAGGCTCTGTGGGTGTTGAATAAACACAAATGCGCCTGTGCAATTGTCTGCAATATGGAGTGACTGGCTGCCCTAGTAGACGGAGTATCCTTGAATGTGATTGGCCAGCTATACATACATATACAATAAGCATATCAATCCCTCAAAGAATTAAATACCAATGTTAATGGCGAAATCACTTCGCTAACAGGACTAATCTTTGAATAATAAGATCCTTATATTCGAGTTGTTGTCAGATGTGAGACACATGCCAAGTACTTTCGACAATTTAAAATTGTCATCTTCAGGGCGCAATTTTCCCATACATAGGCAAATACGAAGACGAAAGTGTAGACCGAAAGATGTTTTCTTTAAATTATGCTATTTATTGAGTGTTGAATATATGTTTTGGAGCGTGCGATGCCGTGACACTAGAGTTCTTGTTCAAATCTACCAAGTGAGAATTTTGTTTGACTTTTAAAACGTTATGTTAGCGAATTGATTCCAGATTAACATTTAATTCTTTGTATAAATTGTTTATTAATTATAAGATGCACATTCTAAAACACACAAATACACACACACACACACACACACACACACACACACACATATATATATATATATATATATATATATATATATATATAAGTGAACATTGAAGTCATGCGGCCTGACGATTGTGTCCAGCATGAAACAGCCTGTCGCCTCTGAGTGTTGACTTCAATGTTCACTTTTATATTTACACACGCTCTATCTCTGATATTGGGCACTTTATCCCATAAATATAGCACACCTTAAAACTATATTTCTTCATATATATATATATATATATATATATATATATATATATATATATATATTAATGTGTGTGTGTGTGTGTGTGTGTGTGTGTGTGTGTGGGAAAAAATTGGAAGGCAGATTTTGTTCAAGAATATTTGGTTAAACAATATAATAATATATATAAAGTTTTATGACTGTACTGATCCAAGTAAAAAAAATAAACAAGTAATTATATACTAAATAACTATAATATAATATCTTAAATTTAATACAACCAACCTAGTCATCGATAACAATTCTTCACCATCAATTAGCGTCTTACAAAATACTAAAATCGTAGACTAAAATTGAGAGACTGCATCTTAATACGTATGTTGGCTTTACAACAACGACGTTGACCAGAAGTCTTACGTTTCGCTTGAACGATCATAGTTCAATGTCAGAACATTTAAATGAACACTCATGTTCACATCCATAGTTTAGACAAGTATATGTCAAAATTACATCAGTGCTCCATCAAGATAATAATAAGCAAAAAATTAAAATCCTGGAAAATAATTTATATAAGAGAATTGCGGTCCAAAATAAATAAAGTCTGCTACGAGTATAAGAACAAAGTACTTAAATGTAGTAAAGTCTTATAAAAAAATGCTAAATTAAAAATACTAAATTAAAAATATTACAATTAAATAGTCTTTTAAAAAATTGTTACCTCCCTTGCATAGCCTTAAAGAAATATTTTGAATTTATGGTGCTAACTCATAACACTGCAATACTAATAATACTAATAATAATAATAATAATGGGATCATCAACAATCCCTGTTGTAGTTGGAGCCCTCGGATTGGTTGGAAAAGAATCCAGTAGACTAATTGAAGGGATTCTTGGAAGCCTATGCCTTAAAGAAATACAAAAAATTGTTCTCACGAGTGCAGCCCACACCTTATGAAGGGCTATGTCTATGTAAACTTCTATTTTTTCAGTGGAAAATGTCATGATGCCATTTCTAACCTTAGGTCCCTGAGCGGGACCCGAAAAGAAATGAGTATACATCAGAAATCAAAGGAAATAAAATAATGATAATAATAATAATTTACAATACACTCAGACAGAACCAGCAAATCTAATTGCCCAGACATGGAGACCAAATACCACAAGAACAGAATGTGATTTCTTATTGACGTGGTAGTCCCTGCAGACTGTAATGTATCTTTGAACATCGGCATGATAGAGTGGACCAATATCCTTACTGGAAAATATGCAACTTTTACGGGAATGAAAGTGCAACAAACTGGTATGAACAGCACCCTGACCTGATTACAATGATAGAACCTCTAAGTGTTTTATGAGATTTTGCAATACAACCAAACAAAACAATCAAAGCTAATCGCTCAAACATCGTGATCAAAGACCACAAAAATAGAATGTATTTTCTTATTGACATGCCAGTCCCTGCAGATTGTGATGTATCTTTGAAGATCTTCAAAAAAAAAACTATCAAAATAAAAGGATTTTGAAATGGATATCTCAAAAATGTGGCACATGGGGACATCAATAATTACAGTTGAAGATGGAACCCTGGGATTGATTGGAAAAGGTTCCAATAAACTCGTTGAAAGTATTGCTGGAAGAAGATGATTTAGAGAAATACCACAAAATGTACTCGCAAGTACAGCTCACACGTTACGAAGAGCTTTATCAATGTAAAATGTGTGCGATCATTTTTTTTTGCGAAAATGCTCAATGGGAAATATCATGAAGCCATTTCTGACCTTAGATCTCTAGTTGGGACCCGAAAGGAAACGTGTATACAACAGAAATCTAAATAAATAATAATAATAATAATAATAAGTAATTCTCTCTATGAATTAAATCTAAATTGCTGTTGGCTATTATCAAAAGTGTCTTGTCTTCGATCGACGTCGATTTTGCAGACATGAAGAATCATGAACGTAAGACTAATAGGATGATGTAGAGTCGGGCCAAGTTATTATGTCTTTCCCTATTGGGAGAAGCAAATGCGTGTCAAATTATTTTGTGATGTCTCGGGAAACTCATTAATACATCCTTAACGTTAGACATTTGTAAGTTTGCTACAAATGATCGTTCCTTTAAGGTAGCTATTTGTTTACATCAGTCTGCATACATCAATCATTTGATCTTTATTTGCTATCTATCTATCTATCTATCTATCTATCTATCTATCTATCTATCTATCTATCGCAGTCTTTTCATATCTAAGTCCGTTCGTATCTATCTATATCAATCTGTTCACAACTATCTATCTCTCTATCTATCGCAGTTTTTCCATATCTATCTGTCGCAGTCATTTCATCTATCTATCTATCTATCTATCTATCTATCTATCTATCTATCTATCTATCTATCTATCCCAGTCTGTTTCTATCTATCAGTCTATCTATAAATCTTTCTCAATTTGTTTCTATCTAAACATGGTCATCTATCTATCTATCTATCTATCTATCTATCTATCTATATATATATATATATATATATATATATATATATATATATATATATCAGCCTGTTCCAAGGTATCTATCTATCGCGGTTTTTTTTCATATCTATCTATCTATCTATCTATCTATCTATCTATCTATCTATCTAAGTTTGTTCCTAATTATCTATCACTCTAGCATTCTCTCACAGTTTTTACATATCTATCTATCGCTCGCATCTTTTTCTATCTATCTATCTATCTATCTATCTATCTATCTATCTATCTATCTGTTGCATTCTGTAATATCTATGTTGCTATTTAGATAGTTCACTAGTTAGCTATAGTGTCCCTTCTCTATTTTAGGCTGGTCATAATGTTTCTACACACACACACACACACACACACACACACACACACACACATACACACACACATGGAGTTCGTTATTGTTATATTATATTGTCTATATATTCTAATTTGTAGTGTGTAGTAATAGTAGCAGGAGTAGTAGTAGTTGTAGTAGTAGTAGCATTAATTCTAAGCCATGCTGTATGAGATGTGGTGTAATTGGATGTTGAGGTGGCTTTAAAACCCCGCCAACCGTTTCCGTCCAGTTTTCAAGGATGCAAAATTGAGGCTTAACTTACATTTTAAAATGGCCATTACAATTAGATATCCTTATAATACCAGCCTTATTTAAAAAGATTTTCTCATGGGAGCAGGGATTTTTAAAGAGTTTTTAATTGCTTCGTTATTGAATTCAGATCACTTAACTGCTTTACAAACCAAATAACTGATGAAGAAAAAGCCCTTCCCATCAGTGATTACACACCGCAGGTTTTTTTAAAGCCTTGTGTCACATCTAAACTACGGTTAGAAAATCATTTGTTCGATGCTTACTTGGTACTTTTGGCCTTGTTCCACATCTGAAACCCACCATATGCGTCGGGATGAGGAGGAAGGCGAGAAAGTTGCAATCGTTGCCGACGTGAATAAATTGTACTACCAACAACCCGGTTAATCATAAAGGCTGAAAAGGTAAGGATATTTACATTGGTGACTTTCAATTGGAATGCGGCTCTGGAATCTTTTCGGAGAGAGGCGTGGAGACAGTTAAAATACATGACGAAAAAGGAAGAGGAAAAATGAGGACGAGAAAGAGCTGGGAGGAAATGATACCAGACGGGAGAAAGCAGACTTATAGAAAGGAAAAGACGGGAAAATGATGATAGAAGATGTAGGAATGAAAAAGAAAAGCGATATGAATAATATAATTATAAAAACCTTCTGTCAAAGACTGCACAGACCACCAACCCGACAGAATTCATCTCCCGTATGAATAAAATCTGACATAATTGTATTTCGAGTCGTTAATGAGGTGACACAGGAGGGCGGGTCCTATGGGAGGTGCAAGGGCTCGTTCAATAACACTGGAATAATGAAATGGTAGGAAAAGGCTGCCAATATACTTTGGACGAGAACGGTTGCAGCTAGAATGAAAGGCGCATGAAGAAAGCTATTGAAAGGACAACGAACACGGTAGAGTCAGAGACCGGGTGCGAAAACAAGAATGCGGAGTCTAATGGAAAAGAGATCCAAGACAGTCACGTGATTGATCGGAACAAGATGAAGGGAAAAGAAACTAGAAAGAATGGAGAATGGAAAGGAGAGTAAGGACGTATAAAAGGAGAGTAAGGGTCGAGAAAAGGAGAGTAAGGATCAAGAAAAGGAGAGTAAGGACCGAGAAAAGGAGAGTAAGGATCAAGGAAAGGAGAGTACGAAAAATATAAGATGAATAAAAAGAAAATATTAAAAAGATAATGAGAGGAGAACAAAGTTGGCATAATTGGAAAATTAAAGAGAAAGGACAGAATTAAATGACCAGAAGGAGATTTTTAGAAATAAGAAATGTTTAAGATAACAACCGACAGAGTGTAAAACCATATCTTCCCTGTAATCAAAAAGCCGATCAAAAGAATGACGACAGATCTTGTAAGGTACATTATGTGAAGAATAAATGGATTAAACCTGCCAAAGATATCAATGAATATAGCAGCCGAGTACGATCACTAAGTAGGCAAGACTATCTTAACTGTTACCATCTCAGCCTTCCCCAGTTTTGAATTCAGAGCTGTCCTTCTTCTAGATTGATTGCAGTCTGCTTTATTATTTAACCCATAGATGGTTATTTGCGAATCCGAATTTCTAGACACTAACCTGCACATCCATACCACCTGAACCCCACTGTAAATGTGTGTTTGTCTTTTCTGGTTTTCGTACGCCCGCACGTTGAGGGCACCTCCTCTCACAACTGAGAAAAACACTGATGTTATATAGCTCTCCTGGTCCCAGACGCACGCTGACTATCGGCTAATACCTTGCAGCATCGTTCATATGCAAATTGTCAGTGCCACTGCCCATTGTGGAAGAGGACGGAACTCCTGGTGCTTATATAGCTCCTCCAGTCCCAGATCCACGCTGTCTATTGGCTAATACCTGCCCACTATTGTTCATATGCAAATAGGCAGCGCCACCTACTCTAAATAGAAGGTCTTCTCTCAAAAGCACATTGTGGAAAGGGACGCAACACGCCTACAGTACCACATACTGCCAAGGCAAACACTTTCATCGGGCTGACCCGAATCTCTGTTACAAAATGATAATTCAATCCTTTCTGTGTTCAATATGTAGATAATATGTCTAACAGTTGGATGGGTATAAGAACATTTAAGATTAAATCGATTTTATTTTTATTATTTTAAGGTGTTTTTTTTTATTTCCAGGATGGGTTAATTTTTCAAATTAGCGTCTAGTTCAAACTCCGGATGTCTTAGTCGGGTTTTACGATATGAAGCCTTTTAAATTAGTTAAAGAATTATTAGAATTAACATCTTTATTTTTATTCATTAGATCACAGGCTTACGCCAATATTAATCATGTGACTGACGCCGATAATATTTAAAAACTCCCTCAATTTTCAAGCAATCAAATACAAGCCTCACTCAATTGTAGCGAACAATAAATCGATTGTTTAACAGTCATTTAACTTGATGATTGAGTCCACTCATATAGTGAAAACCCACGTAAATATCGGAAAATGGCGATTTTTGTTAGTTTCTTTCTTATTTTTTGTTAATCCTTCAAACAATTTTCATCAAACTTAACACTTGCTTTATAAGTGTATCCTCTTTTACATCCCTGGTAGCACACTGACAAACTGAATCTCAAAACCTCCAAAATAATTATGATCTGAAGTGGGTTTTCATGTCGCCTGTTTTACCCTTTCATGTCCTCGTCTAACTTTGATTGAATAAATACAGACTACTTCAGTTATATCAGTAACTGCACTAATTCAAAATGTTTTTTAATGAAAGTACTTTAAAGTAATTGAAGAAGCTAGACTTTGTTACATCTAAACATGATGCTGTTTTTGCTACATTCTAATTGAACGCTTTTTCTGATCGGCCAGCTGGATGTGGCTTCAAGGTAGTGAATAACATTTCAGAGTTCAGACGTTTGAAGTAAAGAGTTAAAACAGACTTTAAAAGAAACCGGAAACCCTATCCTAAACAGGAAACGAGAGATAAACTTGTACCCCTGTTGAAAAGACTAAGAGAATGTATGATCCGGGTGATAGGGGAACGTGTCTCCTCCTATCTAAGAGAGAAAATTTTTAGTGAATAAAATTTCAGAGTTTAGTCGGAAACGACAAGTATATAGTTGAAGCAGACTTTAGAAGCAACCAGAAACCCGATTCTGAACAGGAAATATGGGATAAACCTTTACTCCTCTTCAAAAGAGCAGGGAGGAGTGTGAACCGAGCGAAGCTATTTCGTTCTATAGGGGAAAAATATACAAATAAACGTTAAATAAAATTCTAGATTTAGGCGGAGATTTTGCAAGTAGTAAGTCCGATCGGTCCGATAAACTAGAAATGGCAGCTGCTTTCGAAAATGGCTAGTGAATGCTAATACCTCTAAAACAAAACTGCCGTCTTTTAATCATGACCATTTTTGACTTCGATTAACATGGCGGATGCTAACTTCCAGGAAAGCAACTGATTGCGATTTTTCAGTCTCTCTTTTCCATTGGCTTGAAGTGGAACGCTTATATTGAAAAACTGCTAGATTTACTGCTGGGAAAATTGGTTCATTGTTTATTATGCCAGAAAATTGTTATCGTCAGAATAAACGTTTATAATTCTACCATTCGCTCGTGCATTGGATATTGCTGATTTATCTGGTCTGGTGCTTTTTTGTGACCTTGTTAGGGCCAGAAATAAAGACACAAAGAGAGGAACTGAGTTAAACAAATATATTAACGGAAATTGTAATACAAACATATACAAACAAGAGTGTTCAGTCCAACTGTCAGATCTGACTACCGGGAACTTCACTCTCCAAAAGGCAGTACCTGCTCCTATTTATAGCTGGGAGAGTTCATGCAAGCATGGGTAAATTACCATAACAGATAGATACGGACAGACTGAGATAGATATTGCTGTGGCCTTGTTAGGGCCAGAAACCAATTCGCCTTGCCATGTCGGGGCTACGTGAACGATATACTCTCTTTGGGAGGAGTCTTTGAGCACGCGTGTTCCTTTGTTTCCGTTTCCCAAGTATTACGGCTGTGAAGGTTTAGCAAGTGTGTCAGAACCTTTTTTTCTCCAAAATTAATTGACCCTCAGCCACAGCCTTCCATCAAATATTTAGGGTTAAATGTTAGTTTTGGTTGGGAAGAGGAGTGTCAGTTATAGGTTTGGGATGGATTATATATGATGGGGCTTGACATGACCAGCCAACATAAAGAGAGGAATTGAGTTAAATAAATATATTAACAAAAAAATTAATGCAACTGATTTTATTGTTCAGCATCGGATGGTGGCTTTACTTTTACAATTCTAGCAGGGGCTATTGTGGAGAAAATCAGGTAAGGGTAAGACTTATTTCATTTGTGATTTCTTAAGTGCAATACTAGCTCAGTCTTGCTGGGGGTGACAAAGCCACACTGACAGATGAATTTTTTTAAAGCAGGATTTTGATGGTGTCTCTGCTTCAGAGCTTGGCGAAGCTGATCACAGTGCTTCAGTCTACTGTCTTCAAAACCATTTAAATTAAGGATACGCGTCTTACGCAACTCCTTTCGGTTTGATGCTTGGACTTTCCAGGTTTTCAGATTAAACTTGAGAACATTCACACAGACACATACACACGCACACACAAACATATATATGTATCAAGAGAGAAAGACAGAGATGGGTAGGTAATGAAATCACCATAGTGAGTCCAACAAGCCCCCCTCCCTAAAATTCGTTGTCGATTTGATGCAAGTAACGTAAATAGAATATTAGAGAAACTGAAAAATAAGAACAGTATTATATAAATTATATTATTACATACGAGAATTGTTGTCACATAAATCTCTGAGGTGAGGATTTTGTATTAATGAACTGATAATTTTTCATATATATATATATATATATATATATATATATATAGCGGGTGAAAGAGGAAAGTTTAATATCTATAGAACCAGTAAATTAAGTGAGTTTTTTTTCCAGATTTCAGATAAGGCTTGATGCCATTTGTCGTAAATATCCCTAAAAATATCTTTAAGTCATTCAACTAGAAATAGAGCCGGTTAAACTGAGCAATGGTGAGAGGAAAAATCATTCAGTCTTTCAGTAAGGCTGCCAACATTCATACTTCAATGTCCACTTTTATATTTACTATTTAGATACTCTTTTTTCCCTGATATTGAGCACTTTAACCCATATATATATATATATATATATATATATATATATATATATATATATATATATATATATATATATATATCATCCCTTTATATTATACTTTATAATATATATATATATATATATATATATAGATAGATAGATAGATATGTTGTGTATTTTTTAAAACAGCAATCCCTCTTTTATGCAAGTTTTCTCTAACTTGCATATATCTATATCTATCTATATATATATATATATATATATATATATAATATAAATACAAAGACACACACACACACAAATAAATATATATATATATATATATATATATATATATATATATATATATATATATATAGGTAATAGGTCCGTTGGTATATAATCCAGGTAATAAATAAATATTAAAACTGTTTCACAGAGAGCTCAATGTTTTTATAACAGACCATATATATTTTTACAGTAAAAAACAAAATTACCCCCGCATGAAAATAATCTATTTCTGGAGCTAAAGACGGATGGGCTCAGATTAGCCAGAAATAGACTGTTCTCATGCTGAGGTAATTTTGTTTTTTAACGTAATATATATATATATATATATATATATATATATATATATATATATATATATATATATATATATATATGAGGGTAAATCAGAAAGTAAAGCAATTCGTGGGATGATGAGCAGGTAGCCGCTCGCAGTATTCCATCGTTGAGTGGTCGTGAGCAACAAGGACGCTCCAGGCAGTGATTGATCCATACACGGACAACAGGCCGTAGTGTATTTTCTGTAGCCAGATGCAATCAAATCTAATGAAATCCATCGCCGCCTGTTGGCGCCCTATGCTGTAGAACGGTTTGAAAGTGGAAAGATCAAATACAACGGAGGAAATCAAAGCGGTAGGCCATCAATGTGTCGCACGGAAGAACACATCCAGAGCCTAAATGCCTCGATGACCGAAAACTGACAATCGACGTTAGCGCAAGCGGCCCCAATCGTAGACAGCAGCTATGGGTGTGCACAAACCATAGTGTATCATTATTTGTGGTACCGTAAAATTTTTTTCAAATAAAAAAGCAGTGCGGACGTGTTTTCGTGAGCAA